CCGGGGAGTGCTCAGGTGGGCTTTGCGGGGAGCCCTAGAAACACCCCCAGGGCAGCCCCACCGCGCCTGGTCAGGTCTGCGTGGCTGTGGTTGTGGATTAACACCTGAGCGCCGTGCCCCACAGCATCCCACAGTGTTCCCCGGTGTCGGGGCGGCCGGCTGTGCGAGGGTAAACCCGGTGAATCGTCCATAGAAGCTGTTCCTGCAGACGTGGTCGCGTAGGGCGGCCAGTGCGGGGTTAGGATGTTCAGGAGATGTTCTACGCTGGGTGCACGTGTGTCGGTCGCGGTGAGCTCCACATGCTGGGGCAGTCACGCGTGACCCCCACGACCGGATTTCACCAACTGAGCAAAACCGTGGCTTGGGGAGTCTCTGCCATCCCACCGCTGCCCCGAGCCTTGCAGCAGGGACCCCGTCACCACCGGGCACTGGCCCACTGCCCTGTCCAGGACACTCGTTTCCCCGTGCCAAGGTCCCTGTCAAGCAGCTTCCCTCCGTTAATGAACGCTGTGCAGCCCACGAGCGGGGACAACGTTGCACGGTCAATGTGGCATCTGTTGCAACCTGTAGGCACGGCCCGGTTGAAGAGCTGTAAGATCGGTTGTGATGTGTGGGCATCCGTTGCGAAAACTCAGGTTAGGGGCACTGAAGTGAAAGAGGAAAAAGCCTGAGCTGGTCAGTATTTTGCAGCTCTCTCAAACTCTGGTATTAATAAATTTAAAGGCAACGCGTGGTATCCCAAATCACAAAGCAAGAGATTTTTTTAAATAAAGGGCTCCAACCTACTGCAGTGCATGTGAGTATTGAAAGGAAAAGAAATGAGGGGAAAAGATTACATTCATATTCATACTTTAAAAAAATAGTAATTTCAAAGTCCAGCCTATGGTTATTTTGTGAGATTGAAAACATGCCTTTTCTTAAAAGAAATGGCAATTCTGTTGTTTTTCCAAGGCTTTTCTTTGTCAAGCAAACTCCCCTCAGACGTGGCAGGCAGTTCTGATTTCAGCAGGGTTTGCATGTGTGGATGGTGCATGCTTCAGGACTTGCAGTAAGAGGGAGTGAACGATAAGATTACAAAAGGACTGTTAAAAGGGGAAAAAACCTGAGTACTTTGAGAGTAAGGAAGATTGGAGTCAAGATTAAACTTAAATGAAATACTACCTTCGGTTTAGAAATAAAAATTTAAGATAAACCACAGGCTGTGGGTTCATTCACCATGCTGGCACCAGTTTTTCATTTTTATTTTGCTTTCTTCCCTTGCTGTCTCGCCCAGCAGCGGGAGCGCTCGGGAGGCCGCTCCAGCGTGACGTCCCGCCGTGGCTGGCGTCCCCACTGTTGGGATTTGGCCACCATGTCCGAGGGCTGTGTTTCGGGCACTTGGGCCGTGCAAAACCCCCCGGGAGCCAGCCCAGGGGCGCAGTGCGGCTCAGCCGCAGCTGTGCGGGGGGACCCGGCGGTGTGTGCCAGTGAGCACTGAGCCCCCCCCAGCACCTCGGTCCCCAGGAGCTGCGGGGAAGAATGCTCCTCTGCAGACGGGAAAGGCCAGCCAACCTTCTTCCTAATAGCCGGGCACACCACGGGCAAGCTCCAGCCCTGCGCGGGGCGGGGAGAGAGGCCCGCGACATTCCTCTAAGCTTCGGCTTCATGCTTACGAGTTACGACAAAGTTGTTGCTGTTTTGGTATGGTCAGGCATTCCCTCTGCTAACTCTGCGCTTTGGCTCTCCTCCTTGGCAAGTATAAATGTTCCAGATAGTTGAACAGATTCCTTGACACAAGACAGCTGCTTTTGTAGGGAGGAATTAATTTAATCAAGGCTACTCCATCATTAAAATAATCTGAAGTGTCAGATGGAAAAGCACAGAAGGAAGCTAACTTGAAGATGAAAACTCAACATTTTTTCCAGCCAAAAGTGTCCCAGAAGATGAGGTAACATTATAATAAGTCACTCTGGGTCTCTGTAAAATATTTTATTAATGTAAAAAAAATATTGTCCAAAGAGAAGTCGGGAAGGAATGATCTCTTGCTAAAGCCCGCCTGGCTTGATAAACTGTATTTCTTCTCTGGAGCATAAGAGACCATGCAGAGTGGAAGACAACACAGTGGTCCACAAAGGGCAAGATTAGGCATGTGTGGTTGATCCTACCATGCAGAATACAAAGGCCCTTTTGACTGAAAACAGCAGGAAATAGTGCAAACGGGTAGTGCAAAAAGCCGTCAAGCTCCTCCTCTTGCCACAAGGCAGGATCTGCTATATCTTAATTACTTGATTACTTAATTACTTGTCCATCATAGAGCACCACAGTGTACTCTTTACGGGCAACCGACAAGGATATGGACGCAGGCACTGCATCAAGTTGAAAAAGACATTTGTTTAAAGAAACCTGCTCTGTGCACAGAAGGGGACAGCGGCAAATGTTTGTGCTGCAGAAACAAACATCTGCCATCCACACAGCTGAGAGCCTGCTCCTCAATACCATTCACAATTTTCCATTAAATCACTTTCCAGGTAGAAGTTGTTAGTGTAATGAAGTAGTAGGTATGTGCACTGTATAAACACAGGTGTGTCCTACAGTATGTTGGCAAATCACAGGTAAGCCTCAAAACTTGAATTTAAGACTCGGTTCTCTTGTAACTGTCAGAGAGAGGAGTTTCACCTTCACCGTGCATTTCGTTAACAGTCCGGCCCGCAAGTTACTAACTGTAACCTCTGCGGTGGGATATCTTATTTCTCTTACTGTGGAAACTCAGTCAGTAAAAAATTAGAAAACACTGAACTTGGAGTACCCTGGTAGTTCATCTGTACTGTCGGGGCATTTGGTGATTTTCTTGGAAGTCTCCACAAACAGCAATTATACAGTCAGATGAGAATGGAAACTTGGGCTTTGAAAGAAAAGTTTATGGTCGTGTTCCACAGGAAAACCGCAAAGCTGTAGATGTAGAAAGCTGGGAAATATGGGGCAATTGTGTGTTGGATGCTTAAAAATCTGAAGATTGAAGAAACTAAGGCTCACATTTCTATTTTTAAAGGTTTCTGGATTTTTAGGCTGACCTCATTATTCTGGGGGTGGGGTAATTTTCGGTGTACGATGGCGGCAAAGCTCTATTTTTAGATGGCTGTTTGCACAAAGTATGATTGAGAGCAGCTTTCCCCAAAATGGAGCTGGTTACGTAATAAAAGATTAGAATAGCCATTTATGTTTATTTTTTGTTATAAATAGTGACCTAGATTTCACTGTCACCTAACAGTGAAATACGCCACTGTTAGGTGACATACGCCACCATTATGTGCACTGCGGCACATGAGGGGCGCGAGGATGCCGGTGAGGGCGGCCGGGGTACGCGCGCGTGAGGGGGAGCGCGCCGGACAGCATTCACCGGGATTGGGAATGGAAATAGCAGCGGGGCTCGGTAATTTGCATAGAGGTCATGTTTTGCTAATATGTGTCTTGTAGAAGCAGACAGCATGTAAAAGAGGATGGTTAAAACCTGACCCAGCAATGTTTTTAAATTTCAAATTATGCATAAAGTATGCATTAAATTAATTAGGGAATTCATTAAGAAGAGAAGAGTAAAGAAACTAGTTAGCAGTGTGCAACATGTAGTAATGTAAGCCATTTTCTATAATTGTTATATATAATTTGTCTCATAACATTAT